GAGTCCCAAATAGGATGAAACGCTCATTCTAGATTCCACTGTTAGTTACATTCTATCTATTCTGTGCAAACTTGCGACACAGTAAGTTGTCTCGAAGTAATCTACACTCAATTCACATTTGCCAACGTTAATTATCACACCTGGAACATATACCCTTCTCAACATCTAAATTTAGTAACATACATCCTTCGATTAAATCCAGTTCCGTTTATCCTTACCTGGAGTAGTTTGTACATTGGCAGAATTGATAGCGTATTATTTAAAAGAAACTTCAAATCATCCGGCAGAAGTAGAGTTTAGTTTGTTTCAAAATGCTCGACTAGTCTGTTCCATTTGAATCATTCACATTTACTGACAGGTACGGGTGAATTCCTTGAAATTTATAAGGAAAATAATATCATAGAGAAATAATACTTAATAGTTATTCAATAAGTACATGCTTTGAACATCACTACGAATTATTAAGTACGTAAACCATATTTTCAGCCTTCTTGTTCAAAGTAAGTATATGAGATAACACGACTGAGTTAATAAGAATAACGAGTTATTACTAGGCTCGGAAATTACAGTATCTGTCAAAAGTAAACTTTTCATTAAATATTTAAGAACTACGTTTTACATTGGTTATAGAGATGAACAGATAGCAGGTAAAAATGCGACAAATTCCACGACCTATAAATTTTTATCACCTATTCTGACGTTCGCCTTGGTTAATAAACACCATTTTGATGCTCGCTCTTATTAATGCTCATCTACAGCCTTATTTCCTCTTGTTTGGTGTGTGTTGATATCTATACTTAACAAGTATACACTTTATTTGGCTTTGAGTTTTAATGCTTGGACAACAGAAGAGAGGGTAAATTGTTTTTGCCAATCTGTAATATTACCGCTTTAACACAACCATGCACAACTTCTTTTGGGATAGCATAAACTTGATAGCATTAATGCTATTTATTAATTATCATTCTGGACAATATCGTCGGCAGTGATAATGTTGGTGATCCGACTACTTTCGTACTGTGAATTTGCTCTTGCTTTATTGACATGAGTTATAGTGACTTTGAATGATAGCTATCTATTCTAGGTTTTACGTTCCTTTTACAAATGAATAAACCTAGTACATAAGATCACAGAGTCAAAATGATTATTAAATATAGTTTAATGAAATGAAAAATTTTTGATATGTGCAACCAAAATAAATTGATGAACTAAACAATATTAGATAAACAAAACGGAATATAAACTGTAAACCTGGATAAAATCAAATTGCTATAATTCTTACTAAAGAAAATGAAAACGAGATTAATCGAATTTTTTTTTAGCAAAACTAGTTAACACAATTGTTTTAGTGATGATAGAAAATTAAACATTTGTAACCACAGCTCAAAAAGTAATTGACGGCAATTTCTGAATGTAAAGTATGGGATATCCAATTTTAGACAAATATAGAAAATAAATATATCATACATCATTGAAATAAATGTTGATCAATGCCATTTAAAGTCTCCAACCACAAAGCTCGATTGTCTTACAACCAGGAAGTCTGCATTTAAAAACACGGCTTTGATCAGCAGTCAATAAGTCCGTCAGAAGATATCACACACTGATCCGGTTCTACATCCTGCTTTTTATCAAGTTAATTCTATGCTGTTAAGTGTAGTACACATATATATGCTACTTTTGAGTGTAACATCACATAGCTGTATAAATTAGCATGGCTAACTGCTGTATGATATGGCCATTCTTTTATACACAGACAGATTACCGAACACCAAGCACACTCCCCGTAACTGTCCCAAGATTTGGTTAAACATTAAAAAACGAAAATTGATAAAATCAAAGTGGATAGTACAACTAACTACTTCCCTTTCTATTGTTGAATAACCATTCTTGCAAGCCAATCATTAGACAATAAATCAGACACTTTGTGTTGTTATTCACGACTTTAACAGAAGTCTGCATCTTGTTGGCTTTCTCACTAACCAAAACTATATCATGTCTAATCTAAACTGAGCTTTGTATTTGAAATCTAATCCTTGAAATGACAACGTTGATTAGCTCTAGATTTAGGCTGTTCCCCGAGCAATGTGAAGATTTTGTCGTCCTTCTAGACGACACCAACAAAGCGTAGTTTGTATAGAAGTATATTAATTACTCCGCAAACTTTAAATCAACTTATTTTTGTGAATAAATGTTTTTGAACGTCTCGTCAGCCTCATTTTTTCTCGTGTTTCTGTTGGGTCTTGTTTTTTTTACCTTTCAATACAACACTTTGTATACATTGGTAAGTGGGGTCTACGTCGATTCGGATGCGTCCAAATATTCCTTCGCATTATTTGAATCTTCACATGCAATGGACACAAATTCAATAGAAAAAACACCAAAACTTTGAGGCTTAATAAGCCCTAGTCGTGTGGTCGAGAATAACAACGAAAACCTCGCAACTGAAGCACAGGGCTTTGAAAACACAACACGATCAGAAGCACTCACCTAAACTACAAATTCTCTCCATCATTTGAGAAATCTATAGCTTCCTTTATCAAATTGATCATTACATTTCATTTTTCAGTCATACATTTATTTCATCTTTTCTTGTTAAGTGTATTAATTTGGCCATTTTTATTTTCTTTAGCAATCAATATAAAATTATTAACTGTACCATATTAATAAAACGTCATCCATTAATACTATTGTCTTACATTTCCAAGGGTGCGTATTTTTTAGGAATAAGTTTAATGTACTTTCGTTCGCGTAACACTAGCTTGCAAACAATTTAATATTGTTATTAACTCATTCAACTGATAATGATTTATATACTTTCCTTTGGACGTAGGATTTAGCAGTAGAAAGTCGAATGCATTAACCACTAGGCCATAATTCCATATATTTAACCGCCTTGTCTGTATGTACTTGTATATGGACGTGAAACCAATTACATTACTTAGTTTTGCTGCTGTGGAAACTGCAAAAGAAGATAATAATAATCACTACTCCCAGTGAAGACCTAAATCTATTGACTAGATCTGCGTTGTGACCACTTAATTAAAAGTAACTCGATACTACACAGTGCTGAAAGGAATATTTTCCACATTTGAGAGCAATTAGTATAAAAGCTTACATGTTTCACGTTTCATCTTTATTGACAATTAACGGACACAATGTATTTGTAAACTTAAGTAGGAAGAGGGACGAGAACTTTCATTTCTACTATGTATTCAATCACTAAATTTTGCGAGAACACATACATGGCTACATAAGAATCTCCTTACATTAGCATACAAATATATCCAACCGAATCACAATTTATAAGTACCATTGCTAAGGTAATCTCATCAGACCGGTCTCGATCGTTGGTCGTAGGTCTATTAGAAAGGACAAAAATTCCCTACTGACAATAATAAAGGAATAAGTTTAACTTATATAGTGTCTAAAATATTAGCTTTGATGATATTTTGACACCTAACTAGAGCTTGTGAATCGCACGTCCCGTGTCTAATCCTTTCTATTACTACCTGGGATTTGGCCTAACAATTTCATTTGTGTTAATTGGTATGACAACTTGGATTGATGTACATATGTACTAGGTTCTACGTTGTGATTGAATCATCGATATCATTTAGCCAGGAAGATAGAGAATAATGTCTTAACTGAGAGCAAAACATCTATGTATGTACGCCTACAATTTAGAGGTGATGTACTTAATGGAATGCTGATTGTAAGATAAACAAGTTAGAATAACTAACTCGTTTTGCATTCATCAATTCGTGAAGCAAGTTATATTAGTCGAAGTCTCATGAATCTAAATTTTTGTGTTCTTGAACGCCTCGTGGAGTGGCTAAGCAAAGGTGTAGTTAAGACAGTGAACAGCTCAATAGTGGACCATCTAGTGCAAACTGGTAATAGCGCTAGTGTAAGTAAATCTTTCTTAGTAGTTTACCGGGTTAGTAATCTTGTGCAAACGTCGGTCCGACTCAAAGTCCTCCAAACCGCAGAAGTAAGTCATTTGGATTACAAAACCGGAGCTGTGTACAGGAGATATATTCAACTCCTCTTACCTTGGCCAACCGAATGGCTAATAAATCACTAGGAACTTTAACAATAGGATAATTTAGTTTGACTAATGCAGATACAAGCTTTCTGGGTCAAATATAGTTCCCTTTACTCTTATTCATACATCTTTGTGTTATTATTGCTATTATTGGTTCAACGTCACGATTAACCTTCCAAGCACATGAATAATTTACTCAGCATTAACCTCGCTTTATGTCTCACTGAATTTGTATGACTTTATGGAAAACATAGTCTTCCACTAAAAATTTAGTCGGATTATTAGGTGTACCATTATTTCCCTCCACTTATCTGACCCATGTTCCGATCATTAATCTCACGACTTCATTTAACATCTAAACTTCCTCAACTTGTAAGCCATAGAATGATATCAAGCTTTTATTTTGTTATTTATTCACCCCTTCATTTTCTAATCAAGATAGGATATGTCAAAATTTTGTATATAATGAGTAGGAACTGATACTAGAAATGTTTGTAGGACGATAACTCAACAGTCGACTCATTTATTTACTATCAACAAACGTGTCCCGAATTTATAAACCAAGATAAAATAAACCTGTATTGTTAGCTAACATACTACCCTTACAACGATATTTAACGTCGAAAAAAACCATGTAAATCAAAGATCCTGAGAAAATAATTGAACTATTTTTACTGCTAAGTTAGGTCACATATTTTTGAAATGACTGAATGTACGAAATCAAAAGAACAGATCAACCCATTTGCTGATAGTTTTAAGAACTTCCTATATGAAAGAAAAGTGAGGCGAGATCTCGTTTTGACGGAATTTTTACCACTTAAAGCTACACAATAGTTCTACGTATTTGTTTCCTAAAAGACCTGAAACCGAAGAAAAGTTCATTCCATCTTGGAAGGTATACCCGGATAAATATCCATTAAAAATAGTAACAACAGTTGCAAACTCAGTATATTTACACGTGACTAGCCAAGGAAGTTAACATGTCATGGAATCTGTCCATTGGGATAATTATCAATAACAAAGTATTAAAGTCGTTTGTTCCTTCATCATCATCGCCGTCACTACTTTGTTTCTTTTTTGCACTATGAAGAGTAAGACTGTTATGATCTAATTCCAATACATGTAGAGCATGGGGAACAACAAATTCGATTTCGGGATATGCAAATTCGTATTTCTTATCACTGTCTTTGACTTCTTCTGAATATGCCCATGATAATATGAAGAGATGAGTAGGGAGTAAACCAGAGGATTTAAATTCAGATGGTAAGGAAGAAATAGCTTCAGAACAAATAGAAAGTGGTAGGTTTTCGAACCGTTCATTAATAAGAAGAAATGATTTGCAGTCCACATCCCTCTCAAGAAGCTCCTCAACCTTACATCTCGTCGGAACGTTTTTCGAACTTTTAACTCCCTCAAGGATGAAGTTTCTAAGATCTTTGACTACGGAGTGTTTCATAGCTGACTCATGGCTTAAATCTACCACGCTGGTCACTGCAAACACTATGTTATCATCGTCATCATCATCATCGCTTTCATCATCACATGTAGGTTTAACTACAGTACCAATTGAGTCTTGTGACACAATATATTCGGCAAGGTTCTCAACATTGATAACACAGTCGTTAGGGAAAAGATGTTTCAACAGGATTGCAATGCTATCACGATCACTAATACCTGGTGAATATCCTTCTAACTCAAGATTTAAAATTTCTTTGGTTGTATCAACGCTATCAACTTTTGCTACTTTTTTCGGCATGTTCATAAAGACAAATTGGAGGGTTTATTAGCTGGTTGAAAGTTAGTTGTTAATAACGTGAGGAAATTATTTATGCACCTAAACGAAAAAAGACAAAAAAATAGACTCAATGAACCATTTTGCACATAGATTGGACCTAAACGTAATGCTGAAAGCGATTAGTAAGTGATATCAATAAGCATGTGCTAGACCATATGTAACGCACGTCTCAAAGAGTGAGGCAATACCTAACCTTCAATGACCGATTTGAGTATTCAGTCTTCAGTAATAAGGATATGAGGTTTATCGATCTATAATAATTCTTTCAGTTTGTAATACTGTGAAGGTTCAACCTCGTTTTGAATATATCAACAGAAGATGCTGATGTTACATGTTCCGGTAGAGAATTCCAGTAATTCACTGCTCGGTGAGAGAAAAGAAACTCCAGACGTAAATGATTTGATCTCGGTTCTTTGACTTACTTCGAATGTCCTCTCAGACGATGAGTCCTAGACGGGAGTAAAAAATAAGACATGCTAATACTAAGGTCATCGTTCATTATACGATTAGCCAATATTAGATCATCCCGTATTCTACGGTAAGATAACGGAATATGTTAAGGTGTCTCAGTCTGTCCTCACAAGATAGACTAGATAGACCTTGTACCACCTTAGTACCTCATCGTTGGACTCTTTCCAGTATATCTGCTTCATACATGAAACAAGGACTCGCTGCTTGAATCCCATATTCCAAATGTGGTCGCACATAAATCGGGTATAGTAATCTAAACATTTCATCATCTAAATACTGGAAAGACCTACGAATAGACCATAATGCCCTATAGCCTTTCGTAGAATCAGTAGCCTTACAGTGACTAGTGGTTCTGAGATTACTGTGTAGCGGCAGATAAATCCCGGAAATAAATAGCTCTGTAAGTTTTCGACATTGGTGCTGACCACATGGTTTAATGGACTCACCTAGCTGAAGGCGCTCGATCATGCATCCGTACCAGATCACGTGTGGGAACGCCGTGCTCAACAATCCCTGAAATCGCTAGCCAGATTAGATCAGACGATTCTCGATATATTGACAGTCAACAAATATATCTTCCGATCTCCTCGATTCTGTCTTTTGATTTCTCTTGGTGGGTACGAGTTATATTAAAAGGTGTTACTCGTTAAAGCGTTGTCAAACTTCACATACCTGTGGCATTCGCATTGGTGAGCCCGACGTGATCTGGTACACCAAATTGCAAACTGTGAGTCGGTCCCCTTTTGGGATTCTTTATATCATTGCTTTATCGTAAGTTTTTATACAGTGTGATATTTTGTGTGTTTTTGGATAATATTTTATTTTTCCCTCGTTCGTTCTTGTACTTCATACTTCATCATGACTGAACAGACACCCAAAGTACTTATGCTTAAGACTTTGTCCCCTCCTTCGTTTCAACTGATGTTCTTCTGGTCAGACAACATCGAAGCCTGGTTTTGCTACGCAGAAGCCGACTACTTCGAGCACGACGTGATCGACATACGTGCACAATTTCTCGCAGTAGTCAAGGAACTACCGCAGGAATTCAACAGGTACGTAGCACCTAGTATGTTCACCAGTGATCTTTCAGAACCTTACGATCTGTCCTTAAACGAGGAGACCTAACATATCTACATAGGTTAGACCAATTGCTAAATAACATCGACCTGCATCACGGTTCTGTGACGGACATGTTGCAAGGAATGAGAGAGGTTAAAGGTCAAAGAATTTTCGATGATAGCCTTTTTAAACAACTTTTCTTGTCCAGACTTCCTCAACAGGTGCAAGCTGTGCTTGTCTCGTTCCACAACAACGCCTTAGACGAGCTGGCTGCATCTGCTGATCGTGTCTTAGAAATTACGAAATCTACCGAGGTTTTTTCAGTCAAGGAAAAGCCTTAATCGACCCAGAATGATATAACAGAGTTATGTCATACACTTACGCGTTATCTTAATTCTCTTAATAACCGTAAGCGATCACACACTCTACGTAGAAGCACTTCACGTAAGCGACCTGTCTCTAAACCATGAGACGGATAATTCCGACTGGTGCCGGTATCATAACCAGTATAAAAAGTCTTCCAGAAATTGCAGAAAATTCTGCAAGTTTCCCAACTCAAAACCGACAGACACGAAAAACAACTCGGGAAACTTCCAAGCCGGCACGCGTTAACGGCAACCGTAGCCGGCGAACATAGCCGTCTGTTATACGTCACAGATGTGACAACGAGAGTTCGCTACCTCGTCGACACTGGTGCAGAAGTTAGCGTTCTCCCAGCAAATCCCAACGACCGGCTTCACGAATCGGCTTTAAACCTACAGGCGGTAAACGGAAAACCTATCGCTACGTATGGCAAAAGGTACGTTTACCTTAACGTGGGTTTACGCAAACCCATTCACTGGATCTTCGTTGTTGCAGATGTTTCCGTGCCAATCATTGGTATGGACCTTCTATAACACCATAATCTAATCATCGATACGCGCAAATGGAGGCTAGTAGACGGAAACACTCATTTTTCCGTTTGCGTAACTTCCTTTTCTGGTTGCAGATTATCCCAAGTCACAATTAAGCATACGATAGACCCACTTCATCAACCACTACTCGATAAGTATCCTGGGATTCAGCAAACGCAACCGAAACTACCGTGTGTAACCAGCAATGTTACACATCACATCCCGACTTCAGGACCACCTGTTTTCTCTAAAGCACGACGACTAGCTCTCGAAAAGCTAAGGTTGTCGAAAAACGGGTTCGATTACATAATAGACTTAGGAATCATACGACCGTCAAATAGCCCATATGCATCTCCGTTGCACATGGTCCCTAAAAAGGACAGCAACGATTGGCGTCCAACTGGTGACTATCGGCAATTGAACGCGAAAACCATTCCCGATCGTTACCCATTGTCTCACATTCACGATGTGACAGCTACCTTGAAAGGTACAACTGTTTTTTCGAAAATCGACTTGGTTAAAGCGTATAACCGAATTCCCATGGCTACTGACGACATACCGAAAACCGCAAACTTCGACTGCCCTTCAACTATCACTACGGACCGTGGACGTCAGTTCAGTAGCACGCTTTCACCGACAACTAAAATCTTCACTTTCAGCTGCAAACGTTTCTCAGTGGAATGAGGCTCTTCCACTCGTCTTGCAAGGTATTCGCAATGCAATGAAAGCTGACAGTGGATACACTGCGGCTCAACTAGTTTATGAAACGACACTCCGACTTCCAGGAGAATTCGTGGATCCTTCATCCTCTTCAATGAACATGGATCTAACCTCCTACAAGAACTGGTTTACAAACGCAATGCGTTCAGTTAAACCTGTTTCCACTCGGCCACAACCAATTGATGTTTTCGTTCAACCTGACTTACGATATAGTACACACGTTTTCGTACGTCGAGACTCGCATCGACGACCTTTCGAATCAACATACGAGGGACCTTTCAAAGTTCTTCAACGCGAACTTAAGTACTGTGTAATCGGAACTAACGAGAGCATCAGCATTGATCACCCCAAAGCAGCATATTTAGAAGGAAATCCTATCTACGTCGATTTTCCTTCAGTACAATCGAGCGACACGATTCCAACACTTATAACACCTCATCCGACGACCAACACGCACGATGATACTTCGACGGTTTCTGAAAATGAACTTAGAACAACGCATTCTGGAAGAAGAGTAAGATTTCCAGAACATTCAAACGACTATTGCACGTAAGACACTAGTTAACATTTTACTTCATCTAGATTTTACGTGGAATTATATATAATATAAAAAAATCAATTTTTATATGCTGATATTTGTATATATTTATTGTTTGAGAAATATGTATGTTAAAAAGTTTTTTCTTTGAAAAAACCAAAAAAACATTTTGTAAAATTCATCTTTACGTTTTTTAAACATTTTTCGCCAATTTTGTGTCTTAAAGTGCGTACGGGTTTATTTCGACATGCACTTACACTTTCTTTTTTCTTTTCCATGACGGCTGGGAAAGACGATAAAAAGAGCGACGGGGTTATCGAGGGACCAAAAATTTTCATTGTACATTGTTTTCTTACTAGATTGTATTTCATGGCCCCTTATAGTAAGGAAAGACGACCAGACGCTGCTAAACCTAGCAAGCTATCAGAAGAGTGTTTACCAACGACGAAACTCTTTGATTTCAAGCTTCTGGCTGGACACGTCTTTTGGGTTATCACTATCCCACAAGGGGGGTAGTGATCTGTAGCGGTAAATAAATCCCTAAAATAAATAGCTCTGTAAGTTTTCGACATTGGATGCTGACCACATGTTTTAATAGACTGACTTAGCTGTAGGCGCTCGATCATGCAACCGTACCAGATCACGTGTGGGAACGCCGCGCTCAACAACCCCTGAAATCGCTAGCCAGATTAGATCAGACGATTCTCGATATATTGATAGCATATCAAATATATCTTCGAACTTCCTCGATTCTGTCTTTTGATTTCACTTGGTGGGTACGCTTCATATTGGAAGGTGTTACTCGTTAAAGCGTTGTCAAACTCTGAATACCTGTTGTATCTTCAACTGCTTAATATAACTCCTAAATATTTATAGTTTCTTACTTTGGGTAGCACGAATCCACCTATTGTGTACTGATACGATTCATCATAGTTATTTATTTGCATCACTACACTCTTATTAGAATTTACTTCCAGTGACCAACTGTCCAACCATGCCACCAATGAGCTGAGATCATTCTGTAATACTATCCTATCCGACATACTGTGTATGGGTCTCTAAATTTTTATGTCATCAGCGAAGAGTGAGACGGATGATTTCGCTATAGTTGGTAATTCATTTACATAAAGTAAAGAGAGAAGAGGACCGAGGACCGAGTAGCGCAATCTCCTATCGCAATGAGACTTGTCAAACATGATAAGCTTCTCCGAAAACCATGTTGTTCCCTGGAGAAAAGACCGTGCCCTTAAACATAGTTTATAACAGCTATATAAATAATT